CGGTGCTCGCGGCCTGGTGGACACGCTGCGGGCCAGGCGCAGGGGCCAGTCCTGCACACCTCTGCCACCCTCAAGGTTCACCGGCCTCGAACTTATCCCTACCCCTGAGATTGACACGCCGAAAGGCGATGACAATCTTAGGGACTCGCCCTCAAAGAATAAGGGAATCCCTGAGATTGGCATCGTGATGAGGGGATGCCCAGCATAGGGATAGGTATATGTTCCAGGCGGCTGGTAAAAGGTTCCCTCTCGCGACCACTGGACCACTCGCTGCTCTGCTCACCACCCAGGGGGTGGGGCGGATCCTCCCTCACCCTCCCCGGAGGAGGAGGAGGAGGAGGAGGAGGAGGAGGAGGAGGAGGAGGAGGAGGAGGAGGAGGAGGAGGAGGAGGAGAGCAGTCCGCGCGGTGCCTCATCAGATGGCACACCGACCGTGCCCCCCAGGCTGCCACCGCCCTCGCCCCCGTTGCGCTGCAGCGCTGGGGCCTCCGAGCCCCCACTCTCTGAGGCTCACCGAATCGGGCGCGAGCTTCTCCGCACCACCAGGTCGCTCGATCCATGGGGCCCGCGAGAGCGGCGGCGCCTGGCACGAGCGCTAACACAGGACGCCTCGAGGAGGCACTCTGGCGCAGCCGCGAGGAGGCCGAGGAGGGCGCGAGGTGCGAGGAGGGCAAGGAGGGCTCGAGGTGGGGCCCCGAGCCCTCCTCGAGGGGGGCGCCGCGAGGAGGGCCCGAGGGCGGAGTCGCGAGGAGGGGCGCTGCCCGCTGCGAGGGGGGACCCCTGCCAGACGTGCCCGTTGGCACTCCGCGGCGGGCCGACCCGTGCTTCCCGGGCGGGCCGCCCCTGGGCTCAAGTCGGGCAGGTCCCTCTGCAGGGGGGATCTCCAGCAACAGTGGAACAACAGTCTGGGGGCGACGTTTCGACCACCTTCTGACCATGGTTGCTGGCTTTTTGCCTCTCGTGAAGGCCTGACGGCTGGTGCCGCCGACCCTGAAAGACATCGACGACGACCAGGAGGAGGAGGAGGAGGAGGAGGAGGAGGAGGAGGAGGAGGAGGAGGAGGAGGAGGAGGAGGAGGAGGAGAGGAAGCAGAGGCGGAGGCGGAGGAGGAGGAGGAGGAGGAGGAGGAGGAGGAGGAGGAGGAGGAGGAGGAGGAGGATGGCGAGGAGGCGGAGGAGGAGGAGGAGGAGGAGGAGGAGGAGGAGGAGGAGGAGGAGGAGGAGGAGGAGAAGGAGAGGAGGAGGAGGAGGAGGAGGAGGAGGAGGGAGGAGGAGGAGGAGGAGGAGGAGGAGGAGGAGGAGGAGGAGGAGGAGGAGGAGGAGGAGGAGGAGGAGGAGGAGGAGGAGGAGGAGAGGAGGAGGAGGAGGAGGAGGAGGAGGAGGAGGAGGAGGAGGAGGAGGAGGAGGAGGAGGAGGAGGAAGGAGGAGGAGGAGGAGGAGGAGGAGGAGGAGGAGGAGGAGGAGGAGGAGGGAGGAGGAGGAGGAGGAGGAGGAGGAGGAGGAGGAGGAGGAGAGGAGGAGGAGGAGGAGGAGGGAGGGAGGAGGAGGAGGAGGAGGAGGAGGAGGAGGAGGAGGAGGAGGAGGAGGAGGAGGAGGAGGAGGAGGAGGAGGAGGAGCAGCAGCAGCAGCAGCAGCAGGAGGAGGAGGAGGAGGAGGAGGAGGGCGACGAGGAGGTGGAAAGGGACTCCAACATCCGCCTGTAGGGGGACGTGCCCGACCCAGGCCCGGGCCTCCCTGCCGCCCGGGCCCCCAGCTGGCCGAGGTTGGCCTCTCTCTCTCGTCACGCACGCCCGCCCGGGGCGCTCCCGGCGGCGAGGGGGGCGCCCTCGGAGGCGTGCCGCTCGGCATCGCCCGGGCGTGAGCAGCTTCCTCGGCGGGGGGGCACCGAGGAACTCCAGGCCTCCCAGATGCGGTCGGAGTCGGTGGGGTCGGTGTGCATCATTTTCCAGGCTTGCGCCTGCCAGGTTTGGGCCCGAGGTCGTTTTCACCAAACCACGTTTTACTAAAGGGGGCTCTGTCCATCCCCGAGGGTCCTACCCCTGACCCGTCGATTCGTGAATTGTCCGTTTTCGGTTTTGGAGCGGGCGCCGCGGCCGTCATTTTCCAGGCTTGCGCCTGCCAGGTTTGGGCCCGAGGTCGTTTTCACCAAACCACGTTTTACTAAAGGGGGCTCTGTCCATCCCCGAGGGTCGGAGTAGATGGGGTCGGAGGATCGCGCCGCATCGGCGACGCATCGGCGGTGCGGCTCGATGTGGGGCCCACGTCGATGTCGCCGATGCATCGCCGACGTCGCCAGCGCATGGCCGATGTATCGGCGATGCGGCGAGATTCTCCGACCCCATCTATTCGGACCCCATCTGGGAGGCCTCTAGGAACGTTCTGGGTCTTCTCGCGAAAAAAATGCACGCACGAAGCCGAAACATGCACGGAGGATGGACGTCCGAGCGATGGCAAGACCATGTCGGCTGCCGAATCGTTGCCTGCCTACTTGCACAAGGGCTCTACGCTAGGGGAACAAGCAACGACATAAGCATACAAACTCTGAGGTCCGCGCGGACTTCCGAGTTTTGATTTTTCTGTCATTGCTTGTTCCCCTTTGAACGCTGCCCATAACCATCCACAAACGCTGGAGGGCCTCCTGGGACCATCCGTGGATATCCTTGCCCGGATCCGCAAGATCCCGACGCTAAGCGCGCCAACGACTTCCGCCCCCTACAACTTCCCACATGCTTCCGCAGGCTGTACAGTGAGCGGTTCGAACAAAGAACACTCACTTTTCAAAATGGGGCTCGGTCGTTCCTTCGGCTTGCATGCGTTATTTATCGCTCCTTATGCGCTATGTATTCTTTACCGTTTCTTATGCGTTACTCCTTGGAACAAAAAACGGACTCGTTCCTCACGTATCGTTCCTCATGTCAGGCCGATGACTGAATGGCGCAGGCGTGGTTGACCTCTTCGGCCCAGTCGTCGAGCCTGCGCTTCACCCCGACCAGACAGCCACGCGAGGAGGCCAGCGTGGTCCCAACGTCACGGCTGCCTCTCGCCACCTCGGCTCCCCCCACTACCTCAACGCCCCCCCTTCTGCCACTCGCCCTCTGCCCATTCTTCTTCCATCCCCCCTTCCCTCCTGCTACCTCAACCTCTCCCCTCCGATCCCCTCCTCATCCTCAGTGCTATGTCTCTCCTCCTACTCGTTCCTCATCCTCGCTCCTTCTTCCTCCCTGATC